TATGTAATACTGTGATTCTATATCAATACGACTATAAAATAAAATAATTAGTATTTTTATTACTATTATTATTATTATTGATATTGTCATCATTATTATTTTTAATGTTTATTCAAATTTACAAATATGAAATTACTGGAAAATCCATTAATAATAATGACAAATTTTATTTTACAGTATAACTGCAGAATTACAATACTATTATTTTATAAACTTTTTTTGATAATATTATTACACAATAATATTTGTCTTTATTTTCAAATGTTAAACCATCAAGCGTTTATTTTGACAGAAAACAGCCTATGACTGCAGGTCAAAAATAAATCAACAAGACTATAATATAAAATATAAAATTATCATTATTATTTTACAATTAAGAAATTACTATTGAAAAAAAGAACAATGAAATAACATTGAAAAATAATTTTGTTTTGCATAATTACAGTACTAATATTTAATCTTAATGTTTTCATTTCCACTTTTATTTCGGCAGAAAACTGCAGTGAGCCCTAAAAGCATCTCCTTTGTTGCCAATGGGTTTATAAATGCTTCTCATTACAAAATCGTTACATTATTGTTATGAAACACCGGACCGTGTGTTTGGACTAAAGCAGCTCATTTTCACTGTAGGACCGAGTTTCCAGTGCGGCAGAAACGTCTGATCTCAGGGCTACGTGTTCACAGGCGTCACGTAGTGGATTAAACATTGATCTGAAGCGACCTTGAGCCGCCGTTAACATCACAGGACGAGGTGAAAGACCTTCTCCTGGCATCAGACGCGAGTGAAGAAATCAACCACACCACCGGATGAGAACGCCAGAGCCAGTCCCACACAGAGACAAGCTCTCGAATGCATACTCTACAGCATGCAACAAGTTTTATGTTTTCAGAAGAAACTGGGAGAGGTTCAGACGTCTAAAACCCCTGAACATCAGTGAAAAACTCGCTCTCTTACACACACACATGCACAAACACACACACACACAAACAAACACACACACACACACACACACACACACACACACACACACACA